GCTCGCCACACTCGGTTTTCTGGGGTTGTGTCAAAGGCCACAAGAACTCAGCCGCCCGGCCCATTTCGAGGTTTCCGTTTTCTAAGACGCTGGGTATGTGCCACAAGAAGCCCACCCCCCCATTTTGAGGGCTCCGCGTTTTTTTTTTGGCACCCAGGGTATGTGTCGAAAGGATTCAAAGGAAAGCCACCCTTGGTCCTGTTGCCTGGAAATGCCCGGGCCCCCAAAGGGCGGGGTCCGAGTCCTGGGTTTTGACACGCAGCCATACGTTTGACAAGAAGGCAAGAGGCTTGATCACCTTGGATCAAACTTTGGAGTGGGTGAAGTTATCTCGTTGAACATTGGCCAAGTCTGGGGTCTCCGCAAATATGGGTGTGTTTTCTTTCTGAGGATACCCTTTTTGGAAACCAAGCGGAAAAGACGCATTTTGTGGATTCGCCTGGGTTCAGACACCTGTATTTTATATTCCGGGGTAGGTTAATTGTGGAACGAAGCCAGAATATATTATGTTCTCTTGTGTACCGGCAAGAAGCAATCCAACATCTCTGCAGGCTCTTGGAGCCTTGCGGATCCCCCACAAGCACTCCCTCACTCCTTCCTCACTCACTCAATCTCTCTCCCTCCCTCCCGCCATCATGGGTCTCAAGGTGAACATCGCCATTGCTTACTTGGGCATTTTGGGATGATGTCATCCCCTGACGAAAGGATGTGCTTGCCAAGGTTGTTGGAGTAAGGATCATTCAGGGAGCAAACGAACACCTCTGTCAAGTCGATTCATTTTGCCCAAGTTCCAGTCACACCACAAGGTATGTGTCAACGGAGAACCCCCGAACATTATGATTATTCCTGGCCCTTATCTAAATGGCTGTGGGTCAAAACCAATGCTACCATTTTGGGGTAGGTGCACCACCCATTTTGGTCTATAGTGGGGATTGGGATGTTCACTGGGGGAACGATTTGGCTTTTGACCCGTGGCCAAATGGTCGTTGAAGCTTGGAGACATGCCTTTCCTTGGCTACATGGGGTTTGGCCAAAATTGCCAGCAGTCGATTTGGTCCATTTGGGAGGGAGAAAAAGGAGGGACTCGCCAAGTGTTCCACAAAAGCCCACTGAATCTTAGACCAGCAGGCCTCCAATGAGAGCCCGGTTTTGTGCGTGGGCAAGAAGCGCCAGAGAACGTTGGTGGACATGAATCCCCATCAAAACGTTGTCCACCAAGCATAGAACACACGAAAGGACGTTGAACTCATATTTTCTGCGCCTCTTCATTACGTTTGCCAAGTTGTTTTGCGAGATTCGACACCCTCTCAGGAGCAGCACGAAGCTTTGGAAGAAAGGGAGGCCCGGTTCACTGAAAGTGGTGGAAAATAGGGAAACCCGTTTCAAATGCATGGACAAGAATAGGTTGTTCCCAATATGCTGTGAAGAAAGCTGATTGAAAATATGTGTGTGTGGATGATTTGTGTCTTTTCAAAACGAACCCATCCGGGGGCACCAAAAAACACAGCCGAAGTGGCTTACCGAGAGCCAAGCTTTTTGTTTGCCACTAGACTGGTCCAACCCCAACTGTGTCAAGTCCATGAACTCCAGGAGTTTGCTGTGGAGATTCATACTCAATCTGCAGGAACCCCCATGCTCATTATGCTCCGTTGGTTTTAACTTGGACAACGCCAACAAAGGTAGCTGAATATGTGTCCCAAAAAACAGATGATCTTCCACGTGGCTTCTCTTCAAACCACGATGAAAGGGTCCGCACCACAGACACACAGACACAGAGACACACAGACTCATAGACACACAGACACAGACACGCACACACTACACACACACAGAGACACACAGAGACACCCCCACAGAGACACACACACCGACACCCACCCACCCACCCACCCACCCACCCACCCACCCACCCACCCACCCACCCACCCACCCACCCACCCACCCACCCACCCACCCACACACACCCACACACACCCACACACCCACACACCCACACACCCACACACCCACACACCCACACACCCACACACCCACACACCCGCACACCCGCACTCCCACACACACACACCCACACACCCACACACCCACCCACACATCCACACACCCACCCACACTCACACGCACACGCACACGCTCACGCTCACGCTCTCGCTCTTGCTCACGCACGCGGGCGCGGCCCCCCCCCCCCCTCCGGCTACACACACACACACACACACACGCACACAACAAGCAAAACACAGACACATAGAAACAATGCCTACAGTCACTCGATGTAGGATTTGGTTCCTAGAGTTCACTATAGCTGCTTGAAAGCGTTTGTTTTGGTTGGCTTGGCCACAATCAACCCGTTTCTTGCAAGTGAAGGGTTAGCAAAGGACATCCCAACAAAATCTTACATGTGCGCCAAGTCTTGAAAGGATCAATTTGCAGTCCCATGACCCGCCCTTTCTGTGTGCTTTTCCCGAAAGACGTGAGGGGTGTGTGGATAACAGGGATTTGAGTAGACCGTTATACCAGGTGTTGATTGTGGCTGTACTTGGCGGTGATGCGTCATTCAGGGGCTGTCCTTTTGGGCGAGGGCGAACCCCACATCTTTTCTTTGTTGGGGTTCAGGGAAATCGAAGACAGCTGCCCCTTTGCGGGGTCTCTTCAGAGCATAGGCCACTTGCACCTCTTCACCCTTGATTTTCTCCTTTTGGGTTCCCAAATTGTAGGGCTGCCCCAAACGGTGAGATCGCCTTTCATGTCCGCGTCCCTTCAAGGGGCAACCGAGCCATTGACCGCGAGGCGAAAGCTTCCGAAGCCGAGAAGGAACCATTCGAAGTCGCGCGAACACGCGAACTCGGCGCCTCCCGGTTTGTAAGGCTATCCTTTTTGTTGGGTAAAGGGAAACCAAAAGGAAACCCACCACCCTAAAAGGACGGACCCAAATAGGTTCGATTTAGCCAGTGTTTTCTTGGGTAGCCCATTATAGGCGCAGCAAAGCTTCCTTGCTCCGCTTTTGATCACCCGGTGAAGTCCAGAAATCGTATCATCAAGATGGATGCAAGCCTATGAAGACCGGTTGGCGAGCCACCTGCCAACTGGCCCGTGGTAGATTTTGTCCATCCAGTGTATGAGCTCCTTTTTGTGAGCAGCCCTGTGCTGGACCTGTTTGCCAAGACGCTCGGTCAGCGGAAGTGAGATGTTGGCAAATTTGGCACCAAGGAAATCCATGTTCTTTGATCGCAATAGAGATGGGAATCAGCCACTGCCGGGTATCGAGTTAGTATATAGTGCCAAGCACAGTCTCAGAAGACAAGAGCGCATGCTCATGTTTGAATTCGCACCCCAAGAACGGTTGGCCCAACAAGAATCCTGACTCCATGAGCTTCCGGACTTTAACATTTTTGGGACGACCGTCTTACTCGTAAACAAAAGAAACGAACACGTTAGCGGATTTGTTCAATAATCCTCTCAGGAAGTGAGACTGATGGGCTCTTTCGGATATCCAACCAGGTCCGTTTGCTGCAGGTGTTTTTGGGGAAATGACGACTACACATATCGATAGGACTGTTTATCTGCCTAACCTGTTTGCCCGAATTCCTAGGGCTTACCTGCAAGCTTACACTGCCACAATGAACTACTTGTCTCATCCATTTTTGAGTTGCTGCTCCTTCCAACTTGAAGTTGCACTTTGCCCACCGTTCGATGTTCAGCGGCGGATTCAACTGGCATCGCCCTTTGCAAGAGGAGGACATCCACTTTGCACGCACGGATGGACAAAGTAGGGGGTTCTTCCTCATCTCTGGGATGGCAACCCCACATGGGTCTATCAGTTTTTTGAGGGCAGCCCTCAAGCTGATCAATTTCTGGAGTTCCGCACGCCATTTTGGGGCAACCCCACTTTGGTATCACAAGGGCAGGGGCAACCATGTTCAAAACATCGAACGCTGGCCCTACGTTGGGAACCGCTCCTTGTCTGTTTCGGGAAACCACCGGAAAATATCATGTTTAGAGGCAGCAAACAAATGAAATCCGCCAAGGGGCAAGTCAGCCATGGTTCCTGGAAGGCTACATCCGAATCCCTGCTTTACAAGGGGACCTCTGAATCAGCTGGTGATTGTGTGTTTGTGTTTTTTGGTGCTGGCCCACATGTGTCCTTGAGGAACCATGTGCCTAAGACTATGTTTTATGCTCCCCTGGTGGTTCTGAAGAGACTCTGTGACTCCTGGAAATACCTGGATCCTCCTTCCGGCCAGAATTTTAGCCTTTTTGAGTCCGCGGCTGGAATTTTGGCCGGCAGGAGTTTCCAGGTATGTTTCTTTTTCCCAGGGGGGCACAAACGCAAACGGAGGGAGCCCTGCGAGCCAAAGGTCTTATTTGTTTTGGGGGCTGGAGATTTGCCAGGCGCAAGCCTCTTTAGAATCCACGGCGGGAAGCCAAGTGAGATGCGTCAGATGGTCAGGTGAGGCTCGGTCTAAATACGGCTCTGTGACTGATGCGTCTTTTTGAGGGTCGCCTTTTTCAGGAGGCTTGAAGCGGACACCCAAGGCAGAATCGCCATGAGGGTCCCCTCACGCCCGTAGGAAGCCAGCCATCGAGGCTCACATGGTCCCGCCAAGCTTGCCAATATGCATGTCCCATGTCCTGCGGATATGCATGTATGTCGGACAAAACCAGAATCAGTTCCAGCATGTCTGGAGACTCCGTTCGCCCACTTTTGGCTCTTCGCCCGAGGCCAGTACTTGCAGCCCCCACTTGGCCCAGCTCCAGCCTAAGCGCTGCGGCCAGTGCCTGGGCGAGGCGCGGTTTCCGGCCGCACGGTCCGCGGAAGCGCCGGAGGCTGGGGGGGGGTTTGGTTGGACCTTGAGGTCCATTCCCATTTACTCATAGTTACCCTCGTGGCTCAAATGCTGGTAAAGTTGTTTGGGTGTATCTTCGTCCAGTATGGTCCATTTCCAAGCAATCCATGCAAGATTTACTCACAAGACACCCTCCAAAGGTCTCAAATGTTGGTATATATGGGTGTGGGTCAAAATTAAACCACCAGGGAACCGCTGGTTGGTTTCCATTTGGCAGGGTTCCCTTTTGGGTACCTGCTTTTGACCAACACCCATATGTTACCCTACATGGTTTGTCTGGGATTGCCTGCCTGACTGCCGCTGGTTGGATCTTTAACTTTTGACCTTTCAAGAAAGATCAATAGGTCCCCACCAAGCTGCAGCAGGTGTCCAAGCTGCAGCAGGTGTGGCATGTGGCAGGGGGAAGTAGCCATGAATCTTGTTTTGGCACCTTCTATTTGCCTAATAATGTTTTTTTTTAACCCCGTGTTGGTGTGAAAGGGAACCTATCACTAGTGGACATATCTGTATGTTTTTGCAGGGGCTTAAGCAAATGGAGGACACTGGTTATGAATTAGAGTCAGAAACCGGGGCGATTTGTTCTTCCACCTAACAGTTGGGTGACGTTGTTGAGGGAGGCGAAAACGCCTCAAGCAAATGGACACTTCTTTCATGACCCGTAAAAGAGGCCCTGATTGTGACAAGCTTCTACCGGGTCCATGTCAACGCATCTGTAGGAACCTCCAAGTCGAGTTCGAGTCGGGCTTTGACAGACGGTAGGGTTTGGCCTTTCGCGCCCCAAGCTCCAGGCAAGTGGGAAGAGGCTAGCCAGCTGAGCGTCATGTCCATCGAGGAAAAAGCTATCCGGCGTGTCAATCGAGGCAACACGATGTGCTTGGCTTCCTTGGGCTCTCTGAGGAAGCCCGACGGCCCGACGGCCCGACGACCAACCCCAAGGCTCCCGACACGACTGACCACGCAGCTTTCGCCGGTGCGATCACTGGCCAGTGATCGCCCTCCGGGAAGAGTGCTCTCATTTCCTGGGCTGACGGCTTGACGGGCAATCTATTGGACTTCATGTTTTTTGAGAAAATCTATAGTTTTAGTGGCAACCAAACCGCGTGTTCAATTTTTTTGGCCATTCGACTCCAAAAGTGAGTTGGTTTCTTTTTGGAATACCACTTTCTTGAAACCTCCGCCGATGGATCCGGAGGTCCGAATGCTCGAACTCGCCGCTCGACTTCGGTTTTTCAGGCGGATCAGCTGTTTCTGGACCCGGGTGACCTGAACCAGTGCCCAGCTTGCATGGGTCCCAGTCCCAAGGGGCGTCCTTCATCTTCCATGGAATTGTTTTAGGGTCTCAGTGAACAAACACGGAGTGTTCAATCTCCCAGTTTTTCAGGTAAAAACTTCAAGTTGAGTGTTACTTCTGGAAATTTGTTTGCACACCCGAACCCCCTAGAGATCGCAATTAATTAGTTAATTATTTGGTGCTTGAAGGAAGGAGCCCTCCAGCTCAGAAATATTCATGCTGAATTAGAAGAGTACAGGTGAATCATCAATTATTTGGAATTCAATCATATTCAGGATTCGGAGGTGTTCAAATTTGTGCCTTTGGGTGACACACTGGCAAAGCCGGAAAACACCACACCCGCAAACTCCTGCGAGACGAGAGAGGACACAGTGTCCAGATTGCATTTTCAGTAAAAGCAGTGGAATACACACTCAAGTGCACAGAGTTGCAATAGTGTGCAGAGTTGTATAAATGTGGTCCCAAGCAACGACAAAAACAACCAGACTTGTTTTCAGTATTGGTTCCCCCAAGAACCACTCCTAGTTTTCGATTTCCGCTCCCTGTTGCAAGCCACTCCTGCTTTTTGCTTTATGCATTTGAAAACTGGGTCGAATGTTATTCTGATTGACTCCTTTTGCTGGGAAAGGGCCAGAATGGCATGGATTTGGGCTCGATTGTGCTTTTTGATCTTGAACCAAGTGCTAAAATAGAGGCGAGTACTCCGGTGGTGGGGGGCGGGGAGAGCATGTACATCTGTATATATATATAGAAATATAGGCGGGAGTAGTTTTTTGGTGGAGCACGCACATAGACTCAGTACACACACAGAGCGGCAGAGAACCTCCAATCGCAAAAGCCCAGCCGCAGTGACCCAGTACTATAATGTTTAGATTTGGCTTAGTATTGCTGTCAACAGTGGTTTGTTGTGTTGCCGCAAGGAAGATACTTTTTATTGCATCATAGCCATTTTACGGGGTTCTGGGTAGGAGGGAATATGGGAGTTTCTCAAAACAAAGCACCCCTTTACATGGTATGTGAAGGGAAACCAAAAGGACAGCCGCCATTTGGGGTCTGGGGGCAGTGGGTCGCTTAGGCGTCGCGCGAATGGTTCGCTTAGGGATCGCGCAAATGGATCGCTCCGGGATCGCTTTTTGCAGAAGGCTTGTCGCGCATGCATGCGTGTTGATATGTTTGCTCGCGATGTATGTTTATATACGCGCATGCGCGAGCATGTATGCGCTTGTTTGTGCTCGTCGGCGTGTATGTCGCATGACATATGTGACGTGTATGTTTCATGACATATGTTACTATGTATGCTGGCGAGTCCATTGTGTGCATGCGTGTTGACATGTATGCCCTGCGGCGTATGCCCCAGAACCCGATGAATTTGCACATTAGGTTACAGAGCAGGCTGGGCTGGTTCAGTTGAGCGGGTGTGCTTATCATCCCCCCCACCCCACCCTCCACCCCCAGAAAGAGATGCATTTGCTGGGATGAAGCAGTTCAGCGGTTGTGCTTATCATGCCCCCATTTTGTTACAGAGCAGGCTGGGCTGGTTCAGTTGAGCGGGTGTGCTTATCATCCCCCCCCCCCACCCCACCCCCCACCCCCAGAAAGAGATGAATTTGCTGGGATGAAGCAGTTCATTATCATGCCCCCCCCCAAACCAACCCCCCCTATTTTGTAATCCGGTAAAAGAGCAGGCTGGTCTGCAGCAGTTGAGCGGGTGTGCTTACCATGCCCCCCCCACCCCCACCCCCCAGAACCATGTTATTTTGTATTCCGGAAAACGAGCAGGCTGGTCTGCAGCAGCTGAGCGCATGTGCTTATCATGCCCCCCCCCAAACCCCCCCCCAAACCCCCCCACCCAGAACCAGAGCGGGTGTGCACCCCCTCCCCAGAGCCGGATTACTTTGTAATCCAGTAACAGAGCAGGCTGGTCTACAGCAGTTGAGCGGGTGTGCTTACCATGCCCCCCAGAGCCATGTTACTTTGTAATCCGGTAACAGGGCAGGCTGGCCTGCAGCAGTTGAGCGGGTGTGCTTACCATCCCCCCCCGAATTCCCCCCCCCCAGAGCCATGTTACTTTGTAATCCGGTAACAGAGCAGGCTGGTCTGTAGTAGTTGAGCGGGTGTGCTTACCATGCGACCCCCCCACCCCCTCCCCAGAGCCATGTTACTTTGTAATCCGGTAAAGGAGCAGGCTGGTCTGCAGCTGTTGAGCGGGTGTGCTTATCACCCCCCCCACCCCCTCCCCAGAGCCATGTTACTTTGTAATCCGGTAAAGGAGCAGGCTGGTCTGCAGCAGTTGAGCGGGTGTGCTTATCATCCCCCACCCCCCCCTCCCCAGAGCCATGTTACTTTGTAATCCGGTAAAGGAGCAGGCTGGTCTGCAGCTGTTGAGCGGGTGTGCTTATCATCCCCCCCTCCCCACCCCCATCATCAATGAATGTGATCCCTAAGTGATCCGTGCCTCCATGGGTGCCAAATCACCCATTTAATTCCCTCTAAACGTAAAAAGAAGCCAAAGGCGGGTGAATACTCCCCTGCAAATTCACCTGAAACCAAAACAAGAGGGGTCCTCCCAAAATGCAGCTTTCTCTACACCTGTTTTTGTTGCTAGAAATCGGTGTGTTTTGTAGGTCTTCCAGCCGGTGTGAAAGGGAGTTGTCCAATTTCTGCCTGGGAAGCGTTCCGTCGGCAGGAGCAAAAGGTGGGCATTGCAGGGTTTTTTAATCGGAGTTTTGAGAAGACCGGGGCCAGGACCATTCGATTATTACGATGGAAGCCGGAAACAGACAAGAACAAGTTAAGTTAGGTATTGGATATATATATATATATACATATATATATATACATATTATATGATATATATATATACATATTATATGATATGTATAGACACGTGTAGAATATGCGTAAATGCCAGTTTGAAGGATTTGGGCCAAACCTTTGGCCCTCGCAGCTTGCGGGGATTGGAATCGGTTCCGATTCAAACCTTGCACATGCCTTTACTCCTTTTTTCTAGCTCTAGAGGGATGGGTCCCTTTGAAATCAACTCCCAAAAGAGCGCATTTGTCTTCCCCGTGTGAATCCACATGGGTAACCAGGGACCCAGAACTTGTGAGAGTCTGAGTGGTTTTGACTTTCGAACCTCGTTTCTACGGGGTGAAGATTGATGCGTGTTGCGGTGACCCACGTCCGGAAGTTGCGCCAGCTGCTTTCACCTGTATTTCCAGGTACTGCCGGAACTGCTGGGAGGAGTACTACGGGGAGCCGCCTCCTAGAGATCTGCAGGCCTTAGTGCCCACTGAGGCCCTTTCGAGTCGAAGGGCGATCTGTGTGTTGTCACCCGAAAAGCTGATCTTTCATTTGCTTAGAATGTGTTTCCCCCCTCTCGTCTCTCAGGCAACTGTTTGTTGGCGATTTGGGGATTTGGGCCCGCGGCATTTGTGGAGGGTAAATGGGAATCATCTAAATTGTCTAAACCACAAAAATCGCTTCCACCGACTGGACAAAGCTGGCTGCTGGTTTCAAAGGGAACCTATCACTGCTGTTTTGTTTGAATATGGTTTTCCAGTGGACTTAATCAAATGGCGGTGATTGATGACTTTGCCCAAAACCGAACAGATGCGGGCCAAGTGAAATAGGGTTTTCTTGAAGTTGCATTTGTAGTTCTCAAATTATGCTTGAAGTTTTATTAGTTGTCTTCCATTAGTGGTGGCAACCGAAATCCAAGTTACTTAATACCGGGACTCGAACCAACGGGCTTATCGGGATTGTTCGCCCAGCCCAAGTGCTTTTGTCGCTGGATCAGCTCTTTTGGCAGACATGTTCCCTGCATTGGTCCATGTTGACTTTTAGCCGTTTTGGTTTCTATTATGTTTCCTGGGTTTGGTCAAGTTGCTTGCCTCTTGGGATGGTAGACTTGGTTGTGAAGTAGCCTGGAAATTGTTTCTCGAAATTCTGTGTGTGGGGAGAACATATTCTATTGTGGTACGGCTTGATTTAAAGGGATAATGCAGAAAAGCGGCATTTTGTTAGGGGGGGCCAAATTTTGACAACCCCACATGGCGGTGGCTCAAACACATGCATCAAAATGGCCCCTTGGCAAATGGAAGCAAGGACTAAAACCTGCATAACCCTAGCTCGTTTTGAGCCACACCCACATGTTTGTGTTGTGTCTTTTCCCAAGCCAGCAAAGCGACCATCCCAACACACGTCTCTGGGCGATTGGACTTCCATGCCATGGGAGAGACATTAGGAACCCACCCCCCCAAAGAAAAAAAACAACATTCCACGAACCCAGGTTCTAAGAACCTTGCCTGGGGCGAGGATATCTGGGTGTCTCTGGTTTTTTTAACCTATGGACAGTCCTTTCGGCTCGAGCTCAAGCCGTTCGGGCTGAATTGCGAGAGGTTCAGGGCGCCATGTTCAGTTGGTTCTCAGGCTCCAATTGCTTCCTCTGCCCTCGCTATGAAACTTGGGCGCAGAAGATTTGGACAGAAACTGATTCCGCGCCCCGTTGCTCCAATCTCCAGCGAGGTGTTTTTCTGTAGGCGAGCCCCTTTTTGGTTGGTTTAAAGGGACTCTGAAAGGAACACCACCTTTTTAGGGGCCCCCAAACCCACCTGCCAAAGCCTCCGTTTTTTCAGGGTGTTTATTTACCGAAAGCAGTGTTTGTCAAGGGTTTCTCCAAGAAGCTGAAACAAGGGAAGCAGTCTTCAGGGGGCTGTGCACTTCCATGTTGGGCGGAGACTCCGCAAATCATGCCTCGCCGAAAACAGCGGAGTGACAGGAAATGAGCTCGTGCAAAGCATGGGCTTTGGAGCCATGTTGGTTCCCACTTCTGTGCAAGGGAAATGTTCCTTTGAATTGCGTGGTCGTGGCAAAAGCTTTCCACTGGCATTGCAGCAGTTGCAATTGCCATTGGGGTCTGCAAAGCTATTCTATATTGTGGGGTAGACGAAGTATGGAACAGAGCTCGAACATATTCTGCTCTGTGCACCCTGGATGGGGGCAACGATTTGTTCATTTGTTGCGCTCTTGAGCCCGGTGTTTGAGTTTGCAAAAGTGATGGCAGGCTTTGTTTTAGCTAACGGACGGCAGCATGTGACATGGCTCAGAGTGATTTGTCCATCAGCAATGGCGGAGCCCAGTTGGCATGGTCATCGGGAAATGCAAAATTAAACCACAAATTCGGGCAGGACATCCCCATCAACTCATGTTCTTGGTTGGTCTGTAGTTCGTCCTTCAGTTTGTCTTGGCTCTTTGGTTGGATCGTTACCTTTTAACTTTTTGTTGGAACCTGTGTTTTTTTTTTTCCCCAGGCCTCAAATAAGTTGTTCACTTTTGGGGCGGGCAAAGGGCTCTGAAGTGAAGCAGGCCCTCCGTGAATCAGCCAGCTAAAGATGCCAGCAGCAAACTTACTGCCCCTGTTGGCAGGGTTGTGGGATCACTCATTTGGTGTTATCCAACCACTCCTGTGATACTTTTGGGGAATCCCTCTTTATATGGAGGAGTCAAGGCATGTCAAGGCCCTTTTTGGTTGTATCACAGAAGTGGGCATTTCTCACCGCCCTGCCTGTTAGTGGACTTCAAACTTGTAGGGAAGACTACTCAGGAAGTGTGTCAACATGAATAGTGTTCCTCAGCTTTCCTTCAACGCCGCCCAAGCAGCGGTATCGATGTTTTGGTCAAGTTGGGCGGGTCAAAATTGAACCAACAGGGGACCGCAGGTTTTAGTCCATGTTTCCATCAACAGGGTTCCATTTTGGGTACCTGTTTTTGACCCACAGCCAAGTTGGGCGGGTCTGTCTGCTTGCAGCCATCCGCATCTCAGGATTCCACCATCGAGCCGGGGAAGAAAGGAATGATCAGCGAAGCGATCGAGGATTGAATGCTTCAGGGGCTACAAAAGCACTGAGGTTCGGTCGGGCATCACTCATTGTCCCAAAAACGCCATGCGGACACACTCATTTGTCCATGGGAACCGAATGTTTTGACCACCGCTCATTTGTACAGGTTGGGCGGGGCTCAGACACCTACCAGCTGCTGAACCGGTCCCAGCTAGTCCCTGAGCACATGTTAGGGCCGCCATGTACGCTGGCACCTGCGAGGTGAATGAGGTGGTCTATCCGGAAGGAATTCCTCCGGGACGGACCTTATGTAAACAAAGGGCTTTTGCAATAAACCTGTAGATAGAGGGGCGGACCCTAAACTGGACTGCAAAGGCGGCTTTGCAAGAACCATCGGGGTTTGCCAAGTGGAACCCAAAGGCCGGCCGACCTTTGACTAGTTTTCCGGGGTTCCTCGAGCTTGGCCAAAGATGGCGTCTACCCGCAAAGCACCTCCACAGAGGCAGAACCCCCACCGAATTCTGATGCACAGCAACGGGCCCCTAAGATTCATACCTAGTGGCTGCCCCCGAAACCAATACCTGCAAGGTTTTACTGGGATGTACATCCACTACAACCCACTACAGGCGATATGTTCCTTCCTTGGTAGTTCAGTGGGGGGGGGTGGTGGGGTCAGGCCTTTTTGGTGGCTTTTGTCGGTTGTGTTCATCGGAAGGACATGACGCCGGAGAAGTTCGAGACGCAGTTTTGGAAGTGGGTCGACAACATGCCGGCCATGACCACCTACCAAACCGGGCGCACGGTGACCGGAACCAAGGACACTGCCATGGCGGCTTGGAACGAGCGGCTGCAAGCGGGATAATCGGGCTTGCCCGTTGTTTCTTTGTTGTGGGCGCGGAGGCCCGGTTCCACCTTGGTTTCGCTCCCTGTTCATGGACTTGAGTCACCATTTGGCCTTCGACCACTCCGGCGAAAACAAAAATCGGTTACTCTTGCGGAAGCGAGCGCCTCTAAGAGCCTTTCCCGAGTTTGTCTGGATTGAGGGGTCTGGACTTTGGGTTTCCCATGATATTGCTCTACAAGAGCTCAGGGGATCAAACCCGCACGGCCCCCAAAACCAAAGCATCAACTAAGGGGTAGCTGGACTGAACTGGGGTCGCCTCGAAAGCTATTCTCAAAACTCGGGTAGACTAAAATTAAGGTATCATCATAATGCTTTTCTGTTTATCCTCTGTGTATCCTAGATGCGTGTGCTTGTTTCGTCATGTTTTGTTCGAGTTGGTACCTTTTCCGCCTTGGGTTTGAAGGACAACTACAGGGGGAAACCTTATTTCATGATGGGTCCAACTCCCTATGACATAAGGAATTTCTAGACATAGTGGTCTGCTTTTGAAACAAAGAGGGCTCCGCCAAAGATGACCTCTTGGCTTGTTTCAGGCTGACATGTGCTTCAGGGTTTTTCTGGCTTTGGGGCGGGGGACAGCGGGCGGGGCTTGATTGAACTGGGCCCCTCAAAGTGGTTTCAAGCTGTTCGCCCTCAAAAAAAATGTCACACCCATGTTCCGTCCCACGCCCAGGTGACTCCAGGCTCCCGATTCTTTTAGGGGCTGAGAACGAGTGCATCCGTTTTTTGGGGCTCCTTGAAAGAAATTCATTTTGCCACCATTTGAAGCATGTTGCTTTTTCAACACCAAAATAAAGGGAAACCACCATTTACAAGTTGCAATGTTCAGGTGTATAGTGTATGGATCCCTGTTTTTGGGGACCCCTGGGCGTGTGTTTGGGGCACGGACGGGCAGACCGGGACTGGTTCCGCAGCCGAAGGTGGCGGAGCATCAGATCGAGGTGTCCGGGCTCGCATCGCTGCTGGTTAGCTTCAAGGCGAATTTGTACTTCAAGTACTACGCGAAGGACCAATCTGATTCCACCCCGAAACCTCCAAGTACCCCCACGTGTTGAGTTGGTATACCTTGGAAAAAACAACGTTTGGCTGACGGCAAGTACCATCGTCTTTGGTGCAGGCACAACCTGAAGATCTTCTCAAAATAGCCTGCAAAGCAGGTGGCTTCCCTTTGAACTTTGGTTTCCCTTTACAAAAAGGCAAAACGTGGATAATTTGAGGGACCCGTTGCACCTTGAGTTGAAGCTAAATAATTTGGGTCCAAAAGCACGCACCAAAGTGTTTTGTATTGACACACCACTCCGCCAAACACACAGTCGCTTGGGGAAGACTAAAATAGACGAAAAAGAGGGATTGGTGTGTTGTTTTGGGGGGTGAATGTCAACTGCAGACTAGTCCCGAGGAGCCTACTATTCAGAGGAAACCATTTTGGAGCATGTCCTTACACAAAGCATAAGTATCTTGATTGGTACGGTTCTCCAGCGAAACCAAAATTAATATTTAAGATGGAAGTGGGGGATGGGAGTTACCCCTGAACTTGAATTTACTCTTGTTGG